ATGTACCCCTCTGATGCACTTGGTGCTTGCAGAATTCTGTGAAATGGGTATAACAATTCCTGCAGTGTCCACCTCATAGGGCTCTTGTGAGGTTCAAATGAGATGGTGTCTGACAAGTGCTTTAAAAATGTTAATAATAATAATAATAATAGCTGATGACAGCTAGCATTTACACAGTTTTAAGCATTGCGAAGCACTTCTCCTATGTCATCTCACTGGATCCTCACGACTCTGTGAGGCAGGTGCTCCTAGTATTCCCATTCTACAGATGAGCAAACTGAAGTTGAGCAAGATTAAATGATTTGTTCAGGGTCACACAGCTAATAAGTATCTGAGAAGGGATTTGAATTCGGGGGTTTGCTGACTCCAAGCCCAGTGCTTTCAGTAACTTGTACTAACGTGTTTTACTCTTTTCCCTCCTACTAGAATGGGAGCTCTGTGAGGACAGCGACCATATTTCATTTAAGCTTTGGACTCCTCTCAGTACCTAGTCGGTGTTTAATAAATGACTCCTACCCTTTGCCTTTCCCCAGGGTGGGTTGGCTTATCCCAATCCAGTTCCTTTTCACGCCTTCTCCATCCAAAACCAGCTTGTGTTAATTGCGTAAATATTTCACATTTACTTGTTGCATCCCCCAATAGAATATAAGCTCTTTGAGGGAAGGAGCTCTCTTGTTCTTGCCATTGTACATCCAGTACCAGCCACATAGTGGGCACTTGATAAAATACTTAACGATCAGTTGATCTATCCTCCCAGATGCCAATATATCTCCCTCAGAAATGATTTGGTACGTACTTTGTATTTAACCTGTGTCTGCCTTGTTGTTTTCCTCCAATAGACTGCAAGCTTCCTGAGGGCAGGGACCATTCCACTTTTGGTTTTGCACCTGCTGGGCTTGGCACAGTGGAAGTGTGAAATAAATGCTTATTGAATGACTAAAGGAAAGGGCATTTGAAGGTTTCGGAGACTTCTGTCGAGGTTACCTGGAAAGCTGAAAGGAGGAGATGCCCTAGGCCTCTGCCAGCAGTGGAATCTCTGGTAACTACCCAAGCTATGTTGCTGCTCAGCCAGCCAACCAAGCTGAAGACACAAACCCTATCCCGGGCAGTTGCTATGGTACATGAAGCAACAAACAGGGCAGTCTGGAAAGGCATGCCTGCTCCCTGCCTCCAGTGTCAGGACGGAAGGTGCCAAACGAAAACCTGGTGCCAGAGATTTTTTTGAAATCCCTGGGTCTGAGAAGAGCTCTTTAAATGGATTCTGCCTCCAAAAACTCTTCCCAACCCCCAGTCACTTGCCAGCCAGTATGATATCTAGCAACTATAGCCACCTTTTGGCAATGCAGCATGAGTTATAAGACCACAGGATCATAGACTTGAAACTGGAAGGAACCTTGGGGGGCCAACACTCTCAGAATACAGATGGGTAAACTGAGACCCAGAGAGGTTAAAGATCACCTAAATAGTAAATGGCAGAGCAAGACCCCAGCCCTCTGACTCCAAATTTGCTCTTTCCATTACACCCTCATTTTCTCCTACTGCCTTGAACGTAGCAGGGACTCAAAAACCGATGGTTGACTGAAAAAAGGAGATAAGGCACCAGGTGCTAATTCCGTAGAAGATATATCTTGGGGGCAGCTAGGTGGCGCAGATAGAGCACATGCCCTGGAGTCAGGAGGACCTGAGTTCAATTCCTGTCTCAGACACACACTTACTAGCTGTGTAACCCTGGGCAAGTCACTTAACCCCGACTGCCTCCAAAAAAAAAAGTGAAAGAAAAAAAAGAAAGACATATCTTAGTAAGGCTGATATTGAGAGAAGAAAGTTTTTACCGCTTTAAAAATACTCAGCATCTAACACCAGAGCTCCAGAGCTGGGAAGGCCTTTATTTTTTTTTTTTCTTTTTTGGCATTGGAGTTAAGTGACTTGCCCAGGGTCACACAAATTAGTTAAGTGTCAAGTGTTCAGTCTGAGGCCGGATTTGAACTCAGGTCCTCCTGACTTCAGGGCTGGTGCTCTATCCACTGCAACACCTAGCTGCCCCTGGGAGGGCCTTTAGAAGACATCCATATAGTCCAACACTGTTATTTTATAGATGAAGAAACCAAGGCTAAGTGATTTGCTCACAGTCACACAGTAAGTTTCAAAGGCAGGAATTGACCCCTAGGTCTTCCTGACTCCAAGCCCAGTACCCTACCCACTGTACCAGAAAAAGGAAGAAGTAGAAAGCTATGGTCCTTAGGAGGGGAAACCATTCTACACCATCTTTTTCTTCCGTGTTACCTAGCTTTTTCTGAACATGGTAAACCAAGCCTGCTCTTTAATCAGAGCCAGGAACGATTCCCCGGGGCCAAGAATTGAGCCACTGTGAAGCAGTAGAAAAAGTGCCAGGTTTGGGGTCTGACGATCTAGGTTCAAATACAGCCTCAGCCAACCTGTTTGACTTTGGGTAAGACATTTCCTCTTTCTGGGTTGTGGTATCCTCATTTGTAAATTGAGGGGCTTAGATAAGATGGTCTGTCTATGGTTCTAGGGCTCCAGCTGGAGTCTGAAACTCTTCTCAGTAGAAATCCCAGCCTCAGACTAGGGCACAAGGAATAGTGAAGGGTGTGCTTACATAGGATCGGGGATCTAGAGCTGGAAGTGACCTCAGAGGCGAAAGAGACAGAAACAAAAAGCCTACTTTCCCTGGCCTCGCTCCGCAAATATTAAATAAAGTGGACCAGATCGCATGAAAAAGTCACAGAAACCTGTCCAAGTGCTCTACCCTAGTGAAGATGTATTTCTTCATTCATTCATCCATTCCTTTTGGTAAAGCTAAAGGAACAAGAGCCCATGAGGGCAAGAAGTTTCATCTTTAAAGGGAACTCTTCCAGTGGCTGGCCACCAAATCTGCAATGCTGCAGGCCTGAGCAGCGGCGGGCAACTACATCTGCTGCTTCATTTAAATAAGGCAACTAGAGCAAACTCTTGCAGTATTTCATTTTGAATCCTAGAGAAACAGCGTTATTATGGGGTGAGGTGAAGTTCTGGAGAGCGGCTAGAACTCTGAACAGCTGGGAGGCCAGTTGTGGTCTGAATCAGCTTCTCTGGCTCCCCAGATGTATTAATTTCCATGAATGCTAATAGGCCATTTCCCTGTCCGCTATTACTTATGTCTCCTCCCCTTGGATAGATTTCAACAGCAAGGAAGGAAGATGCAGAAGCCCAGCTGTGGACCAGAGTTTGCCTACAGGACTCTGGGTTAGTAGCTATTTGCTCCCCAAGAGCTTCTTCTGATTTGACGGTTACATATCCCTGCTTCCTTCCCCACAGGCCAGATCCCCACAGTGCCGGGGAGCCAACAGTTACCAAACCCACAAAATGCTGAATCACAAAGCTGAGGCACAGACAGGGAAGTGGGGGTGGGGGGTGGGGACCGGGGAAGAAAGAGAAGAGTTACTGATCCCAAGAGGAGTCCATGTGGAGCATGTAAAGGGGCCTTGGTCAAAGTGTAACTCTCAGTTGGGAGAAGCATGAAGGGGGGAAAGGAGAGCCCTGGTGGGAGTCCTATCTGGCCTGGCCTGGTCTGGCATTGCTTGAGAAGGATGCTCTTGCAGCAGCTGCAGGGGGAGGAAATGGTAAAGCAGCCAGGCCACCAGCCTCAGAGAGGAGCTGCAGCGGGGAGGAGAGGGCACTCAGGTGTCCTAGCGCTCCACGTTGGGCCCAGGATGGGGAGTGAGAGCGCAGATGGAAGGGGTGGAGGAGGAAGGTGGCAGGAAGGGCTGGTGGTGATGGTCGGGAGTGTGGGAGATCACAGGCTGAGGGGAGGGGAGCATGGAAAAAAAAAGAAGCTTCAGAATGGAAGAGGGAGAGAGGTCAGAAAAGGGTGAGATGATGAAAAGGATCCAGGAAGAGAGGGAGGAAAAGAGCATGAAGGAACAGTGCTTGGGGCATGGAAGAGAAAGGAGAAAAGGGGCAAAGCAGAGGAAATAGATGAGGGGGCTGCAGATGAGCAAGAGGTGGGAAAACTGGATTTCAAGGAGAAGGAAAGGGGAGGTGAAGAAAGGGGTTGAGGATGGGGAAGAGGGGAAGGAGAAGGGATGAAGATGAAGGGAGAGGACAAGGCATGGAGGTAGGGAGGGAAAGAGGGATGGAGACGAGGAGGGGAGGGACAAGGGATGGAGATGGGAGGAGAAGAAGGGATGGAGATTGAGAGGAAAAGGAAAAGGGATGGAGATGGGGAGGGGAAAAAGGGATGGGAATAGGAGACAGGGGAAATGGAGGCAGAACAGATGGAGTGTTATAGGCCGCCCAGCCTCCTCCTGTTACAGACGAATTAACTGAGGCTCAGAAAGAATGGTGACTCGCCCAAGGTCACACCGCTGACCCACCGCAAAAGTGGCACTTGAACCCAGTCCCGGGGGCTTCGAGCCCAGGGCTCTTCCTCCAGCCCACGCGGCCACGCTGGGGTTGGGGAGGGGGAAAGACGGGGACTGAAGCGGGGAGGGTGGACCCCGCGAAGCAGCATCCAGGCCGGGCGGCAGCGCCCGCTCAGCCAGCCCCGCTCCCGCGGCGGATAGAGCGGAGCGCGCCCCGCCCGGGCCCTGCCCCCCCGCCCGCGCCCCATTCACCTGCGCTCACTCACCTGGGGGGCTGCGGCTCCGGCTCCGGCTCCGGCTCTCGCTCCCAACTCCGGCTTTTCCTTCCCGCCCTCTGCCGGGGGTGAGTTCAGAGCCTCCGAATCCCGCTCACCCAGGCAGGTTCCGCTCGGAGCATCTCCACCTCGTGGGACTCCCGAGGCCACGCCCTCTACCGTTTCCCATTGGCCCTTACAGTAGCCCGTCACCCTCCCATTGGTCGCGAATCCGCCAGTCATGCAAATCAGGACCGGCCAATTGCCGCACCTATTGGGTGACACGCTCCCGGTCGGGCTTCGGCGGCCTGGACTCTGATTGGCCCACAAGGGCCGCGGCCCCTGATGACGGACTGGTGGGGGCGGGTCCTTGGCCTGGGCCAACTCCGGCCTTGCTAGTCCGCCCACCTTGGACCAGCTTGCCGAGTAGCGGGTAGAAGCGGCAGCCTTCTCTTAGGTCTCCAGAGTGGTCCGGAAGACATGCAGCTCAGGTGGGCGCCACTTCTATGTCCGCCGGGACCCCTTGTGGGGAGAAATCTCCCTGCTGTGAAGCGTTTCCTCCCTCCGTGGAGGTAGCGGCGGCTCGTCACCTCGGTAACCATGCCGGGCGACGGGCGGAACCATTGAGTCCTGAGGGGGGAGAATGGGCGGGAAGAGACGATGACCGAGGCTTTTGGGGGGTCGGAGGTCTCGGGGTACCATATGGGAGAGGTCTACCAAGGCCATTTTGTGACGTCTAAGAGCCTCGCTGTGGCAGGAAGGCGGGGCGGAGGTAGCGAGATCTGGGTGGGAAGAGATATTTTCCCCCCACGAGGACAGTTGGTTTAACCCGCGGCGCTTAGGCCAGGAGGGGCCACCGTGGCGACCCCGATTCCTGACCCGTGCCCTTTGACCTCAGCTGCTCGGTTCGGATCCCACTCCCTCATATTCCCGAGTCCTTTTACTGCCTGTTTTGGGGGAAGCCAAGGAATGGCTGGTCTGGGTCATTCCTTCCAGGGACGCTTGGGTGGGCTTTTCTTCCCTTCCAGCCCCACTCCCTCTCCCTCCCGTCTTCTTTCTCCAGTTTGTGCCTCCTGTGCTGGTGGGATGCGCCTCATTCATCTCTGTCTGTTCCTCCCCCTCCTCCCTTCTTGTCCTTTCCCCCCTTCCCCTCCCCAGTCTTTCGTCTTCTTCCCCCTCTCCCTCCTAGTCCCTCCTCCTTGTGAGTTCTCCCCCTCTTCCCCAAGTCCTCCCCTTCTTCCACTGACCCTCCTCCCCTAGTTCTATCAGCTTCTTCCTCCTTGTCCTGCACACTCACCCTTTTGAGTCTTCTCCCTCCTCCCCCATGTCCTCCCTCTCCCCACCCCTCTTCTCTTTGGAGTCCTCCCCTTTCCCCCTCTGAGTCTTCCTCCCTCAGTCTCCTTCTTCCCTCAGATCCCTAATCCTCCCCACTTTTCCTCCCATCTCTACTCTTCCCCCCCAGTCCTCACTCCCTCCTCCTTCCAAGTCTTTGCTCCATTCTCCCCCTTAGTTCTTCCCCCTTCTTCCTCTTAGTCTTTCCCTTTATTCCCTCCTAGTCCTTAACCTCCCCCATACTCCCCCCTCTCCATCTTCTTTTCTTCCCTCCTGCTGCCCTTCTTTCCCCTGCCTTCCTTCTCTCTTTCCTTTTCTTACTCCTTTTCACTTTACTGAAGTCCCTTTGCCTTGCAAATAAACTTCCCTCAAATCCTTCCCTTTCAGAATGTCCCCATCACTCAAATTCTCTCCTTTCTTCCCTTCCCCCCCCGACTTTTTTTTATCTACTTCCAAATCCTTTCCTTTTTGGACTTCATCAGATGATGCTACTCCACTAACCCAGACTACAGCAGGTTAAAAACCCTCAGCCTTCCATTTATGGCAGCCTTACACTAAAACTTTCTAAAACAGTCTCACTTTTATCCTAAGAATGTGGGCCTTTGGGGAAAAAAAAAAGGCCTTTGTTAGACTATGTGATCTGATTTATGGTAACCCTTTGAAAAACCTACCTCCTCGGTAGAGAACTCTACTTTTTGTTCACCTGAGCTAAACCTTTAACAATGTTTTAGTCATTTTCTCATGCCAACTTTATTGCTACAGAATTCTATTGGTTCTTCCTCCATTGATTTCATTATGTCATTTTCTTTTCATAGTCCATATATATGTATATAGGCTGAGGGTATCTCTGTATGTGTGTCTATACACCCTTTTTTGTCACCAGTTTATCTTTCTATAAATCTATATTATCTATGTCTCTTACCTTTTCCTTACCAGTTTATTCAGAATGTGTCCCAACTCTTCCACTTTGAGAATTTTAACCATATTTCTCCATATTTGTTTCAATTCATTCTCTCATTCAATGATGGAACTGGATCCAACTAATATTAACTCAATTCAGTAAACATTTGTGAAGGGCCTACTATGTGCCAGAGAGGAAAGGGAACAAGCATTTATTTAAGGCTTACTATCCTCTAGGTACTATGCTAAGTGCCACACAACCACCTTGTGAGGTAGGTGCTGTGATACACAATTTATATTTGAAAAAACTGAGGCAGAGGTTAAGTGATTTGCCCAGGGGGCAGGGTTTGAATCCAGATCTTCCTGACTCCAGGTCCATCACAGTATCCGCTGGGCCATCTAGCTGCCTCACTCTCCACCCAGGGAACATAAGAGTGTAGAACAAATTCAAGTTACATATACTCATCCTTGATACCTGTTAAGGTGAATGACTTGGTCCTTGAAAGAGAAACATTAAATGCCAAATTGATCCTCAAGTTGCAGAAGATAAAATATATAGAACTAATTAAAATATCCTTATGACATTGTTTTTGGCCTACAGTGCTCATGGTAAGCATAAGTAAACAGACAGCCATGAAGGTAATTACTGCTTATTTGCCAGCATCTGTTGCATAAAGAAGTGAGACCCAGTTAAGCTAGATCATCCTTAGAGCATCTGTAGACGAAACTGGAAGGAGACCAACAAATAAGTGTGAAGGGAAACAGATTTGCCAGTTTATGCTGTGCTCATGACTGATAACAGTGTAACAACCATGACCTTTCATTCTTTTGCCTTAGATCTGGTCTGCTTTAAAGGGGAGTAGAATGATGCTTAAGATAATAATAGGAAACCTTGGACTTGAGCAAACACATAAAGACGAAATCAGTCTTGGGGGTGACACAATTTTAAAGGCACTCAAGGTTTGACTTTCAAGCTATTTCAAAGGGCAGAGGATTCCAAAAGCATGGAAAATATTATAGATGGTTTTATTATCAAAGGTGACTGAGAAGTTATGCCAACCATATGCTCACTTTTCCATTTCTGTGCAATCCTTAAGGAAAACTATCTCTGGCAATACTGAAAGTATCCTTGTGGAAAACATGAGAAAGGCACAGGACACTTTTAGAGGTGATTTTCTACAAGACTATTTTCATAATCACCCATTTGAGAGATGTAGAGCTCACAATGTGTAGTGATTAAAAAAGAGAAAAAAAATATGACTCTGTAGGGTAAAATGTAGCCAAGACTCTCAGGATTCCTTGATAGATTCCACCAGAAGGAGAACTTGGTTCTATAATCCTTTCAATTTAATTAAACTTAACAAGCATTTTTGAAGTGCCTCTAATAATAGCTAGCATTTCTATAGTGCTTTAATGTTTGCAAAGTGCTTTACATATAACATCTCATTTTATCCTTACAGCAACCCTGGGAGGTAGATGCTATTGCTTCCCCTATTTTACAGATGAGGAAACTGAATCAGAGAGAGGTTAAGTGCCTTGCCTGGGGTTTGTCAGTCCAGTCAGCAAGCATTTATTTGGCACCTTCTGTGTGCTAGGCACTGTGCTAATTCTCGAGATAGAAAGAAAGGTTAAAAAATAGTCCCTGCCCTCAAGGAGCTTATAGTCTAATGGGGGAAACAACATACAAACAACTACGGATAAACAAGCTATATATGGGTTAAGTGAGATAATTAATAGAGGGAAGATGTTGGTATTAAAGGGGATTGGGAAAGGCTTCCTGTAGAAGGTGGGATTTTACCTAGGACTGAAGGGAAGCCAGAGAGGGCTGGAGAAAATGGAGGAGGACACTGCATGCATGGGGGATGGCTAGAGAAAATGCATGGCTTTGGGAGATCACGTCACTTGTGTGAGGAACCACGAAGGAGTACGATGTCATTGGATCACCAAGTATATGGCAGAGATTCAGGTGTGAGAAGACTGGAAAGGTGGGAAGGGCCCATCCTTCATAAGAAAGTCTTTGAGTGCCATGGGAGTTCATATTTGATCCTGGAGGTGATAGGGTTGGCCATTGGATTTTATTGAATAGGTTGATGTGGTCAGACCCATGCTTTAGGAAGATCAATTTGACAACTGAATAGCCAGATGGACTGGGGTCAAGACAAACTTGGAGCAGAGACCAAGCAGCTGGCTCTGGCACTAGGCTCAAGCATGAGGTGACGAGAGCCTACATCAGAGCAGTGGTGGTGTCAGCGGAGAGATGGGGCTTTCTATGGGATGTGGGAAAGGGGAAATGCACAGGACTTGACAGGTGATTGGGCGTGGGGAGTGAAAGAGAGGAAGCAAGGATAACACCTAGTTGAGAGCCTGGTGGTGCCTCTAACAGTCACAGGGACTTTAGAAAGTGCAAGGGTATGGGGGTGGGGGAGATAATAAGCTCAGTTTTAGGCATGTTGAGTTTAAGATGTCCCCAAAATATCCTGTTCATGATGTCCAATAGACAGTTGGAGATGCCTGACTGGCGATTAGGACAAGAGTTAGAGCTGGATAAATAGATCTGAGAATCGTCAGCTTGGAGATGATAATTGAGTCTGTGGAAGCTGAGGAGATCATCGAGGACATAGAATAGAGGGAGAAGAGAAGAGGGTCCAGGGCAGAGACTTGGGGACATCCATCATTAGTGGTCATGACCTGGATGCGATCCAGCAAAAGAGCCTGAGCAGGAGTGGTCAGCCAGGCAGGAGAACCAGGAGACAGCCATCCAATGAAAGCTCAGAAGAGTATATCAATGGCAAAAGCGTGATAGAGAGTGTCGAAGGCTGCAGAGAGGTCAAGGCATGGGAACTGAGAAAAGGCTTTGGGGGCTGATTTGGTGATGAAGAGACCATTGATAACTTTGGAGAGGGCAGTTTCAGTTGAATGGTGAGGTCAGAAGCCAGACTACAGGGTTAAGAGAGTAAGAGGGACAGAGCTAGTATGTGTCTAAGGCTGGGTTAGAATGCAGGTCTTTGTGATTCCAGGGCCACCGTGTCACCTACCTAGCTGCTACTATGACAGTTTTTCTAGGCATTGGATTTTCAAAGACAAAGTAAAATATTCTCTCAAAGTGCTTAGATTTTACTGTTGGGAAATAATGTGTACATATGAATTCAAAATAAATACAGAGTAAGTACACAGTGATTTTGGTGTATGTGGGAGCACTGTAAAGTGTAGGTGGTGGTGGGGGATGGGATCAGAAAAGGCTGGGTGCAAACCCCCCCCC